CCCAACCAAGCATGTTTATTTTCTGATCCAGACAGGATGATATGAGTAAAAGCAACAACAACAAAAAAAGCAGCAGAATCACTCTATACATTCGGGGAGTCCAATGATATCAGTGAAGGTAAAAGAAACAGATAAACACTGAAGCACAAACACAAACAACTCAGAAAAGGCAGAAAAGCAGACAGCACACTGATACTGAACATGACAGACAACAGGGTTAGATATGGTACCTGGGTTTTATTGCTTTCCTGGGAGCCAGATTAAGCGGAGAGTCGAGGGAAGCAGAAAAGGAGATGAAAGTTTTCAAACATACCACGACTTACCAGCCGTAGTGGCGAGAAACTATGAGTGAGAGCTTTACTGGCATAATGTTCAGGACAAAAGCAAGAATGGTTGCAAAGAGAGAAAGGAGACTGACTATTTTAAATATAAATTAAAGTCAAGTCATTATTTCAGGACATAAATCATGATATCAGCAAATGGGTGGTGAGATCAAGCAGAAGTAATTTATTGGTGATCCCTAATAACGATTGAGGAAAAGACAGATATAAGAACTTGTTTATCGGGGGCGACCTAGGGCAGATCATAAAAGATAGAAGTCACAAGACATAACAGGATGAATTAATTCCTGTTTAGGGGTCAGGTTAAATAAAAAAAAATTATATATTGCAATACAGAAACTTTTGTTTTTTTGCTGTGTTAATTATAAAAACAAAACCTTTTGTCAAAGGCTTTCGCACACAACAACAAACCTTATTTATGTTTAAAACAAAAGGACAATTACTGAATATCCAAGGCCAAAACTGAACATCCTTTGTGCATATACAGGGGGACATATTCAGGAAACACACACACACACAGATGCATTAAATATTACTCTGGCACATAGAGTAATTACTACTGTAGATCACTAAGCAGGTCACTTCTTCTGAAACACTGCAGAGTAGTTTTAAACAGCAGTTTTCATAAACAAGGATCTTTGAGGACTTTTGCTAAAATTCCCAAAAGCTTCAATTCAATTTCTGGTTGAAGTTAAAATCAAACACAAATATTCAACGTGTATCTCTCCCATCAATCGACGTGTTCAGTAGCAGACACCGTTAGCAATGTCATTGTCAAGGACACTCCAAAGGAGAACATTATTACTGCTGGACAAAACAGGGACTGAACCAGTCTGGACCTTTGATTGCAGGACAGGCACATAAACCAGCAGGCTGCCCACCCAGGTGGAGGGAGCGAGGGAGAAAAGAAGGGAGCTATTGATTGTCTGCCTCATGCTGCTTATATATATTTATAGAACAGCTGTATGGGGTCTTCTCCCTCCTGGCCACTGAGTAAACTCAGAAGGAAAAGATTACTCATCTGTTCTCATCTGAGATTTGAGGCTGGTGTAAGGAGCTGAATGAGGAATTTATGATTCGGCAAGGTCGAAAAAGGACAAAGAAAACCAATGTTAGGTTTTATCAAGGATAAAAAAAAAGTTTTATTTCACCAGCTATTTTGCTCCTTTTTTACATGTATGTATGTTTTTGAAGGTTTTATATAACAGTCACTAATTCTTCTCATGATTTCAGAGGCTCCTAACAGATTGATCTATTGTTGAGAAGCACCTTTGTTGTATAGAACAGAGGAAATAAAATTATAAATTGGTGCATTTACGTCACTGTGGCACAAAAAAAAAAAAAAATTTAAACTGAAAACAACTCGCCTTGCTGTAAAAATCATGCTGTAAATAGCTCCTTGCACCCCTCTTGGTGTCTTGCCCCCCACTTTGGAAACAGATTTGTAAATATAAATTGTAAAAAGAACAGCTAGAAATTCAACTGTACCTTTGAAATCAAGCAAATCAAGCAAATCAAACAGTGAAACCCCCTTCAGAATAAAAGCAGAGTACCCCATGACTCATACTACACAAACAAGAGAGAAGTTCATTTTTCAACACAGTACACTTCACTGCTCACATTCGTGGAAACAGTCGTTTAATTTATATCCTTCTAGACCTAACGACTTGAAACCTCCGCTTGTCATCGTGGCTGCAACAGTCCACACATCAGGTTGAAAAACCACGTACTGTAAGTTCTCCTTCAGATGAGAGCCTCGGCTGTACGACGTGTTGCAAAAGCAACACTTCAGAAACTAATGGTGACTTAAAAAGGAAGAACTTAGTATACACTGTAAATTAGAGGTTGTTTTTTTTTAATCTAAGCTGCCATGGTGAAGAAAAACTGTAGAGTGGTTTGTGACAGTAAATCTGGAATAAACAGCGAAGCCAACACTGCCAAACTTTCACCTTAGAAATACTGCAAAGGTCATTCACTTCCTTTCTGAAGAAATCAATAATGCACAGTCTTATCATGAGAGCCAGCTTTCTATATGAGACACAGTAAAACAGCGTTGTCTGCTCCTTCCCTTTTGTTTCACAGCCTCGTCACATTTTTATAAACGATCATGCATTTGATTATTTATATCATAATTATGTTTATCCATTTTTTAAAATCAATTATCAGGTTTTCCCAGGTAAGAATTTCTTCTGGATTTTAATCAAAGAACACTTTTTGTGTGGCTGGAATTAATCAGTCAAATTCATTCATTCACTTGGGATTTTACCAACAGTTAAGGTACAACATTATTCTGTGTTTATAGATTATATTAAGATATTTGATTACTATAATGAATCAAGTAATCCTCTTTTCATATAGATAGAGCTATAGATTTACAGATCAGTGTGTGTGTGTTACGGTGCAATGTGATTTGGGTGGCGACTGCTGCCCCCACGACCCGGTAACGGATAAGTGGATGAAAATGGATGGATGGATGGATGGATGGATGGGTGTGTGTGTGTGTGTTCTTGTGTGTTCATGTCTGTGAGCAGGCACTCCCATTGGGAGTTCCACTACTAGGTCAGCGTTACATTGAGATTATTGAGCTGGCTCTCTCTCTCTCTGCACAGTAACTCCTCTGTGATGACAGAGCAGGTTCAGACTGTTGCCTAACAGCGGTTCACACAGCTGTTCAGGGTTGGTCCGGTCACTGCAGGAGATCGAAAAACCTGTGACCTTACAATCACAAACCACTCCGTGTGACTGGCTCTGAAACTGGACCATGTTCATCAGGATAAGAGCAAATCTCATCACGCTCACGCACAAAGCCATTATGTCTTAAATTAAACTTTTAAGTGCCTTTTTTATTATAAAGTAATTGATTCAATATAAAATATGAGCGGCTGTACGTAGGTTTACACATACACCTTAGTAGCAATTATATGACTAAAGCAGAATTAAGCTATTTTAAATGCTAAATATGCTATTGGAAATGAAATAGTGCAGAAGAAGTGAGTCATCTTTAAATCAATTAGTGTCTGAATTATTATTATCTATACGTTATAAATGAGGATTCAGACAATGGTGTGACTTTGCTCATTCTAAACCCCTTGTCTTCGTCATCATCATCATCATTATCATCACCATCATCAGCAGCACCTAGCACTCATGCTAACTTAGCCTCCTTCCCTACTGTACTGTGTACTGGAGCGCACTGCTCCATCCTTCCCACAGGAACATCACTGGAGCGACAAAAGTCTAATATGACGGGAGAAGTTGGGCCATGAGAAAGTTCAGTCCTGCCTTCTAAATCAAAAACAGAGGCGGTCTAAATATAGGAACAAGGGTGGAGCTGCAGAGACGGAGAAGGGAAATGATGGCTGCAGCTTTTCTCCCCCCCTTTTTTTAGAGTAATGCTTTCACAGAGACCCAGAGAGAACCCATCCACGAACGGGAACCCAATGGGAATTCAAAGCATGTAGGGAATGTGGTGAAACTGCACTGAGAAGGAAAATGTATGTACAGCAATTGCATGCTGGGTATTTACATCATCAGTGTGAACAGAGTCAACTCCCTATTCCCAGAAAAACAGAATAAGTAAGTAGAATACCGCCATGTAATTCAATGGATGACTTAATCTAAATGATGGAGTCAGATCTGGGTGTCAAGTCTGTAGGGTGCTATGATTTTATCATTAAGTCAACATTAGTGTCAGTTGATGTTTGTTACATTTGGATAAAAACAGTTGTTAGGTTAGGGACACAACCTTCTATTCTGTTGAACTGCCAGTGTTTGCCTTGTATAATGTTCCACGGCGGCTGCTCTGCATAATGATGTAAGGCACAGCCTTTACCCTGGATGCCCTTCCTGCCACAACCCCTGCTTGTTCATGGACTTTGGACTTGCACAAATAAAACAGTTTGTTATTAAAAGATTAGTGTCTTGCTGAGGGACACACTGGTATGTAACCAAATGCTGTTCTGAGATTTCTGGGTTCTGCAAAACCTGTTTAAATCTAGAAAATCAATATTTAACTTCCTCTCAATTGACAAAGTTGAGAACATTCTAAAAAGGACAACTTAAAAAAATGAACTAAATGCATGTGGGACATGAGAATGCAAGAAAGCAATAACCATTTGCAGTTGCCATCCCATGAGTGTGTGATAAGTTGATGTAAACTTTAAATGTAAACCAATAACATTGCAATGAATTTAACAAAGAAAAGAGTGCAGGCAGCACAGGTATCTCAGCAGGTAGGAAAATACAAAAAGACAGGAAAAGGTAACACACTGAAGCGAGAGCAGGAACTACCAAACACACAAGGGCATCAACTCTGATCCATCATGAATGGTTAGAACAACAATTCAACAAGACACACAGTAGAACACACAGCAAAGATCAGATGACCAGGGCCCTTTGGTACAAAAAAACTCTTCTATTTCAAGAGAAAACACACAACTAGCCACAACTCAGTCAGAGGCAAAATCAACAAGAGAAAACACCAAACTTATTTCATCAGAGTTCTGAAGCTGGACTGCACAACAGGTTCTGAAGAGAAAGCTTGACGCACATTGAAAAGGACCACAAACATAGCAGCAACGGAGCAGTGTGTCGGGATTGCATGGCGATTAATCGCAGCAAGGGGCAGAAACCAAGCTGCAACGCAGGGTTGCCACTCACCGTGTGGTATCCCCGAGCTATGGGTGGCTTTCCAGTGGGGTACGGATCCACCGTGTCAATGATCGTTTGCCTCTCGCCCTTCTGGTTGATCTTGCGGAAGCGCCGACGGGACTGTCTGTGTGAGGCTTGTCGCTGAAAGTATTCCTCATTTTCATCCATATAGTCCACCTGGAAATTGGAGAAAGAGGGGTTGGAGAGAAAGAGACCGGGGAGTGACTGTCAACATCTTTATTCACGCCCATCTCCGTTCATACACAGATCCAGGAAAAAAAAAAAAAACCTCTCGTTTTAAATCCATCTCTGATTCTTTCTCCTCCTCCTCTCCCTCCCTGCACTCTTGAGTAAAAATAGAAATGTGTGTAGGCTACATCATGAACACCTACGTCAAAGGGAGCTTGCAACACAAAAATGAGAGACAGAGGCTTGTGTGAAGATTTATAAGAGGAGTGATGGGAAATAAATCGGTAGATGAAGCCGAGCTGAGCTGAAGACAACCAGACACAGAGAATATTTAAAGTATGTTCTCCTTAAATGTATATTGTGAAATCACATGTTAAAAACAATGTTCCTACTTTCAACCAGGAGGGGAAAAAACATCCACCCAGTGCAGACTGGCACAGAAGGTTACTTAAGCAACACCACTGGTGAAGTCCAAAAGGTTTTTCTTTTTTCTTTTTTTGCTAAGACTGAGTGCAGCTTAAAAGAGTGCACTCTGTTCTCAGCTCTGGGTCATGATGGAACGACAAGTACATTTTCACTAGTTTTCTTCTCAATTTTTGGGGGTACATTTCTCTCTTTTTTTTTTTTTTTGCTTTACATCTCTTCACATTTCACAACCCAGCCTTTGGGATTATAACGCGAAAATCTCCCTCTGCTGCACTAACTGCTGCCATGACAACAAGCCGGGGAGTTGTGTGTGTAAATGGGAGCATAAGTGTGATTGTGTGACTAATTTCAAATCTTAAGCAATGACTATGTATCTGTGTGTACACTGCAGAAACGTGAGCTGCTTAATTTTGCGTTCTATGGCTTCGTTATTTTCTAGGTGTATTTGTAGATCCAGGTCTGCACATGCGCATTTTCATTTTCTTTTTTTAAATGCAAAAGCACAAAAAACCCTTTTGTTGATTATAGGGCGGGTTGGCACCTATAATAGCAAGCGGGATAAGGCTGCAATGTGTCTGCAACAAGCAGAGCAGAGGGTATTATTACTGGGAGTTTGTGTGTCAGAAACACTAGAGGCTCAGTTAACAGTAGCCCTTTCTCTCTACAGTGCATATTCAAGGAGACACGGCAATTAGAGCATGCAAACGTAAAATTACTCAGTTGTTCTGGGGCTGCTGCATTTCCATCCGCTCCTTATTTTCTTATTTTCTAACTGACAACACAAAGCGTACACGTGGTGTCTTCCTTCTTGTAAATGAATAGCAGATTTGTGAATTTTTCAGTTTGTGAATGTGATGGTGCATTCAGGCGACCCAGCAAACTCTGCTTCCTTACACTGACACTGGTAAACTATTTGCAGCATCATTCAGTGACTCATTATTCACAAGTGTAGATTAGCTACCTTGGCAGAGATAAATAATTAATATAAAGGTGCGCCTGAGTTTTCTCAGAATTTGTTCTACATTTATATTTTAAATATTAAATATGACTATTTTGAAGCTTTATGTTTTGTAATAAAGAAGCTTGCTTTTTATAATATTTATAAGGAACAGCATTTTAAAACCATCCATTGTGTTAAACGGTGGGTTTCGGCTCAAATACGGTACAGTGTTAGGTCAAACAAATAAGGTAATCTCAAAAATGAAGGTGATGCATTGGTGAGTGGTGTCAAATCTCTCTACTCCTGTGTCAAATGGTCTACTTCTGTGATCAGACTAACAGCTGGTGAATTGTCACGATGTCTTACTGTAGAGTGACCAACATCTACTCAGCTCATTTTGTTACTTAAGGCTACTGCAACTTGTTTGTGAAACTATAGTAGAATTGAATCGTCTGTGACCTCCAGGCCTCAGAAGTTGTCTGTGTTCAACACATGACTGCTTCGTGCTGCTATCTGTTACTCTGATGTCCTACTGACATACAGCCCGAGGGTTCCTCAGTATGTTGACATTTTGAGTACAAGTTGCACAAAGTCTGTATCAGCCTTGGACTCGTGCAACACCACATGTTGGAAGGACTCCAGCAGAGTCTCAGTCTAATGTGGCTAAAATAAATTAATGCTGATACTCACACAGATTAGTTTAAAACATAATCGGGCCAACTGTCAAGGGCATTTATCTAAATTACAACCACACTGTGGTGGAAAAAAACTACAAATTATGAGCTGCATTTTCTTTTTTCTTTTTTTACGAGGCGGCTAAATCAATAATTACGTTAATAAAATCGAGTGTAATTAGCTTGATGAGAGCCAGAACAATTTGGCTTTGGTTTGCAGCCTTATATAAACACGGACTTTATGAGTGTAAAAATACATTCAATCTTTAGAACGTGTTACGAAGCTTGTCTTTTTACCACTGTCTACTTAATTAGTTATGTTTAGTCTTGTTCTTCGGATTGATGTTCACTCAGCATTGCTTTATTGAGCTGTCGGACAATTTAGGTACAATTTCCAGTGTCTGAACCCAGGTATGTTGACGAATATTCCGAGCAACATCGCATTTTATTTCTGGATAGTAGTTTAATTTCACTTGACCACAGACTTAACAACCATTTCACTTAAAAAAGAAAACAGACAAAAATGTCCTTAGGTTGAGGTTTTAGACCAACTAAATGTTTCTCAACAGAAAGTTAGGTGATAATTTGTTATTTTGTTATGTGATTTATGGGACACACAGAGGATCGAAAAGTAGAGTGGGAGACCCGAAATTGTAAAAACGTGATGTGTTAATAATGTGTTCACTGTGCGTCAGTTAATTTGTTGTTGTGACTCACCACGATCATCTCTGAGGGTTCCAGTACGATGCACTCGCATCCACGTCGCAAACTCCCTGCTGATCGTTTCCCAAAACTGCAGTAAAGAGGTAGACAAGAGGTAAACATATATTAGAGGATTAAACTTTCAAAACTGGAACCTGTAATATTGGAGGGCATTTTTTTATAAGTATGAAGCATTAGCATTAGTCTGGATACTTACAGCAGCAAAACGTAGCCTATATCCTGTTTGAGCCAACAAGCTTGGCTTGTATACAACATTATAAATATGCAATATGGAACTCTTGTATAAAAGAAGCACTGAAAGGACAGCTCCTTCTTTCAGCTGTGACCCCTCCCACCTGAGGGAAAAATACCCACCCCTGGAAAAATTGTGACGTCACAGTAGGTACACTATGCCATGCTCATCTGCGCAAAGGTAGGAGTGAACCGTGGAGTATTAAAAGCAAATGCCTATTCACACAGCACAACCGTGGCATGATGGTGTCCGACTTGCAGCCTTGGTAATGAATGGCAGCATTGTCCAATGACAGACCTCAATGCAGAGAGATAATGACCTGCCTGTTTACTATTTTTAGCGTCTTCTAATAGAGAATGTGACCCACATCGTGTCGGTGTGCTGTTTGTTAGCTTGGCTAAACTTCTATTAAGTTGCTGTTTATGTTGTGCCACTTGTTCTATTAAACGTTTTGTTGACCCTCAGTTTAAGTGTAGTTGGCCTTTTCATTAGACTCGGTAAATTCAGAAATTGCTGTATATTTCTTTGTGTTCACAGATGAAGTGAGCAGTAAAAAAAAGGTGGTACGGGTCTGGAGGTTTAATCAATCACTCTGACTGGTCCAGACCTCCAGCACAGTCAGGTGTAAATGCTGCAGAGCCCCAAGCTTGTGGCAACTTGTTGAAATTAAGGTCAAGCAGCTACAAAGAACCAGCAGGCCTTAGCTATCTACCTGCCACTCTGACAAAGAACTAATAACCAATTTTTTTCCACAAGTCAGTTTAGCTAGCTTCGCTTTTCTCTTTCAGTTTGTATTCACAAACGAGCCTTTGTAGAATTTTTTTGTTCTTGTTCTGCTATTTTCCTCTCTCTGCCTCTCACTGCTATTGAACTTGTTGCACTCTGTGGGCCTCTTGAAACAATTGCTTGTCAAACAAAAGGCAACATGAGTGACAGACTGCAGCTGAGATAAAACGGATAATCAGATAGATAAGGTTGATGGCTGTGGTTTGTCCGGCCGGAGCTATAGTTTTGATGGTTTCAGATTCCTCTTGCGTCCCTGACTTACACAAGCCTGGCTTTCACCACAGGGCAGAGCATGAAGAGCTTACTCTGTAGTTTGACTCTTGCTCTAAAGAAAAGACAGATGCTGCATTTCTTTTGCAACTTATTTCCAGCAAAGATGATTTGTCAGCTGGGCAGCGGCTTCAGAGAGAAGCGGGGAAATGCTTTTGATCGAGGCTTACAGGCAGCTGGAGTCGGTACCCGCTATTATCCTGGTGAGATTCACTTGGCTTCGTTCTTTCTTCATGGTAAAGCAGTAGAGTAGTCATCACACCCATCACGTATCCTGAAGCATGTCGGGCCACCAAATGTGCACACCATGAGGGGCATGTTCAATCACGCTCCTCCACTGCATTCCAGATATTAGTAGTCCAACCCTCCATTTTGCAGGAGGCAAACGCCACTGGCAATGTGAGATATTAAAGAGGGGATTCTGGAAGTGAAGACTGAGGGGGTGGGAATGTTTTTTTTATATTGGGAAAAATTGTCTTGTGTAGAGATTAAAGCTATCATTATGAAAAATTGAATGCACCAAATCTGCCAAATCAGTTGACAACACCTATTTAATAAATGTATTTTCTAGTCCACAAACAAATGGTTGATGGAATTTCTACATAAACAGACCATGAAGGTATCTAATGATGCCACTATGTATACACATAATGGAATTCTATAAACATTCCATCACCATCATCAGAATGTGGGTCCACAAGGAAACAGAACAGCAGGTCTAATGGTTTCTTTTTCAACATTACTGGTGTGTGTTGGCTGCCAAACAAAATAGGAGAATAACCAATGACAGCACAGGTATGAAACTTATACAGTGGTAGACAAGTTTTATCTTTGTCATAAATTTTAAAAGGAACTTTTCTGCTGCAAGAAAAGAAAATCAGATCTTCACCTCAGCTTCCTGTCCTCGGGATCAAGTTCTACCTCCCGGAGGTTATTAAAATTACAACAGACACGAGCAAGGCATAAATACATAACGACAGAATATGCATATATTCCCTAACCTAATTCTACACAAAACAAGCTGGCAACCTCAATGAAACTGGAACATCATGAGATGCATTTTTAATGGGTTTGTTGCTTTCTGTGTTTCTGTACTTGTAACTTTTATGTTGCCTTTTTATATCCTGACAGCAATCCAGGAATAAACTTGTCTGCATCATAAAAAAAAAAGAACGGTTGAAGTCTATGCTTCTCAAAATACATTATCAAGGCCAATCATTTCTAGTGCACCACGCGGAATCTTTCATTGGCTCGCCAGCTTACCAAATGGTATCCAACCTGTCACCCTGTATGCATCCTGCCCAGAATAGTATCTGTCACAACCACTTCACTGAATGCCATATGCTCAACATCCCATTAGTGATTATGACTTAAGAACCCTGATATTTAGAACAGATTCAAATACAATACTATCCACAGTGGAGCAGTCATTAAGTCGCTCATCGTGCTCGACAACAGTAAAAAACCTTTAGTATAAGATGATATTGTTGTTGTCCAATGACTCAAACCCAATGAAACTTATGAATATAATTATTTTGCTGCCAGCAAGCAAGATAAACAGTCTTTTCGACTAACACATCAAACGGTGAAACATCTTAATGCTTGTATGCTGCTTCTTTTGCACCATTTGCTATTTACTCACTAACATTACAGTGTAGAATAAAAAAATAATGAGTATAATTCTGGCTTTGAAAAAAAGCAGCAATAAATAATAAAGCAATTTACTGAGGAATCTTACTTCAGAATTTATCAGATTCTTTTCAGCTTCTGGTTACGTTTAATGTCTGTTTAAAGTAATTACAATAAATAAAGGAACGTTGATTAAAAGTCATTTATTTGGCCTAATTATTTTCTTTGCCAATTAATATTCTGTAGCTTTTGGTTACAGGAGCTTTACATGAGAATGGGAGTTTACCCCTGCAGCTCTCCCTCAGCTGACTGACAGCCCTCCATTTCCAGCAGCCTTGCATTCCCCTGTTATACAACAGCCTGCTTGGAATGTCATCCCATATGCATCACCAAACTCTAATTCTCCCAGCCAGTCAGGCCACTGCCAAAGCCTCACGTCTGGAGCGTCCTCTGACTGAACCAGTGCGATCCCTAATTATTTAACACTGGTCTGGTGAAGAAGGCAAATGGATAAGGAAGGAGCTGGTTATTTTTCATTAGGGATGAAGTCACTGAGCAAAATAGTAGGCCGTGTGAAGCAAAGTTGGCCAACACTGTTTAGTCAATTCAACATCTAATAATCTCCATGCCAAGCAGCACTGGACAATCCAAGCCCTTCTCACCTCCCAAACATAAACAGAATTTCTCAAGGTTTCAGCATGGCCGCATCACATGCAGAGAACAGTCTATCCCAAACCTTTAACCCCTCCATTTTTGAAATAGTAGCCGACAACACTGCCAAGTATGCGCCACGGGCACATGACTATTGCTTCCCAAAATACAGCTTCACTGACTTTGTAATGGTATAGACTTTCCCAGCGAGAGGAACTAGCTGCTGTTAAACCATTCTAATATTTCATTATCTGTCAATCATCACTTCATCTGCCAGCCAATAACAACACATTCTTTGGCATCACTGTTTTAATTTTAAAGTCACCAAAATCCATCTTCAACCCTCCAAAATAAAAAAAGCAGAAACACAGCCCTTTTATTGGCAGCAAACTGTGCTCACTGACAAGTAAAAAATAACATCAAAGTGATGTTTCAGATTCTTTACTTGAACGTTTTAGTGAAGCTGGCTGGAGATGAGCGAGAATATTTGAACCAATAAAACAAAACAGGAGTTTCTTGTTAAAGCATCTCAGTGAGTCACACGCAGGAATTAAATGCTACTGGGTTCTGGGCACTCACCACTGCCTGTTCTAACACCTGATAGGGCGTCGGGATCCACTTTTACAAACGTCCCACTGGTGCTAGTCCACAGTAACTCCAACAAACGTGTTCCAAATCCCTAGACTCGAGTCTGACTGCGGCATATTGTCCTGTGCGCTCGTCAGTGCTGCTGATGTCTGAGTTTGTTTGTGAGAGTGAGGGTGTGTGTGGTTCTGAGAGTGGATGTGAATCAGTCTGTGTCCAAAAGGCACTGCCCCCTTTCTCTTTTTTCCCCTCTCACACTCTCCCTCTGACTCTCTCTCTCCCTGCCTCCCTTGCTCTGTGTGTGTAATATGGTGCATTGACTGGATCCAGCATTCCAGCGTACGACTCACTTCCTGCTACAGAGTCAAGCGTGCGTGCGTGCGTGTGTGTGTGCAGGAGTTGGTCACTGTAGGTGTCCTGGGAGTTGAACATTAACTTGTTCAATATTTAAATTTAACCAAAAATAAAAACAATATTTTTAAATAATTATGTGAACGTCTACATTTTTTTTTTTATTTAAACATCTATGTTACTATCATCATATTTTATTGCATCATATGAGATGAGCGTTTGGAAAGTTTAGAACAGTTCCTGACAATGTCATCCTCATTTGTTGCCAAAGAAACTGATTTAATCCTAAGAGTTTGTTGTTTGTTTTTTGGTTCTTTTCTTTTACATCTAACTGAACTTAATCTCATTAGATTTAATCACTTGTAAACTAAACTAAATTGAATTCTCAGCCAACTGCTTTGAGTGTCCCCTTCAGCCAATACTGGACACAGTTGGATGGGGGGAAAAAGGAAAGAAAAATTGTAACTCCCTCCTTGGTGACTAGCACCTACACGGGTTTAAATGTGGCTGTTAAAAACTATATTGGAGATAATGTCCAACAAACTACTTTGGTCAATACCTGTTAGTCCAACTCATTTTATTTAAGTGATTAATGAAAGAGGCCAAGAGTTTTTTCACGGTTATATACATATTCTACGCAATTTGACAAATTTGTTCTGATCATTTCTAGTTTTTTTTTTACTTATCAGAGATTATAACAACCAGCTTGAATCTCACAGTTCCTTCTTTTCTGAATTTCAATGACTCAGTTGGTTTCTCACCTACATTTTCAGTAACCACTTTCAAGAAAAGTTTCAAAGACCATGAATCCTTCTTCCAAGCAAGCATGGACAAATTGACAAGGCCCACAGAGTCATTAATTCCGCTGATATGAGCTGATTCAGTTAATGTGATTTATGTTCCCATGATTATCCAAAGATAAGACTGATGATCAGGAAAAAGCCTCAGCAAATGGCCGGTAGTGAAGTCTCCAAAGTAATAATGTTATCAAAGGTTATAACAGTGGCACATGACAGAGGAAGTAACATGAGGGTTAAAGAGGGTTAAAGTTACCATGACAAGTTCATCACGTAGGGAAGTTAAGAGTTTCACAATGTATTTCACTGAAATGGAAGCTTTGCTTCAATATCCCTCTGCATTATATCAAGTCACATGGGTTCTGTCAACTAATACTCAGGATAAGTTGCAGGTTTGCAGAAAACTGGGAGTTGTAGCATCAGCACTTCCTATTTAAAGGATTCTTCTTCTTCATTTATTTTAGGAATTAAGTCATGGAAAGGACTAATCTATCATCTACTAAAGCCAAGGTTTTAAACAGCAGCGAATAAATGTCCATTTGTGTAGTGTAAACATGTTAAATGTTTTACTACATTTTCTAAGGACATGATGGGCACTTGAACAGACTTATGCTTTTGTTTTTTATCACTTTTTGGTAGTTTATATATATATTTTTTTTTTCTAAACATGTTATGGTACAGTTGCACGTTATTTTAAATATAAGCCAGCCCAGACATTAGATGACCTAAGTTACTAATTGCATGTTAATAAACAGTGTACTTGTGCACATTTTTCATCTGAGTCACTGGCTGGTTTATGATTCATATGCAGTATTTGGGCTGGATCTGATTCCACACACTACTAGTCTCTGGGTTAAATAAGGCACAGAGCTAGTGCTTCTTCCTCTGATGACCGAGTCATTCATCTTTTCCCGGATCACGTCTCACCACAGCAGGTACCAGGGGAAAGAGGGCAGGCAGTGAGAGAGAACTGATAGAAGGAAGGAGGCATATCAGGTTTTCAACCTTGCTGCCAGTGTACATACGGGCAGCCATTTCTAGACGGGCTATGTCTGAAACCCAATCCCTACACATCTTTAAAAGCTTCAGGAAGTCCCGCTGGACTCTGTTTGGTTCTTTGTCACGACCAATTTCCGATCTGAAGCCCATTACAGTCTTACTCATAGACTAGGTGTTTTTACTTGGGTAATTGAAAACAGACTTTGCATTAAATGCATTTCAGTGTTTACATATAAACCATTTAATACAGTTGACTGATGTAACCACCTCTACTGACATCTACATATTTTGACCCAATAATTCAGATTTACTGTAAGTGTTCCTCAACTGTCGTTGTCGTTGTCAGAGCATTGACTAGAACCCTGGGTTTGATGTTGGAATACTGCTCTGCCTTCATAACTTCAGCACTATTTTAAATATTATGTTTAACACAAGCAGTCAATACTGAAATGATGACAGAGGTGGTAGCCTCCCTATTATTCAATATAGTGTATATCTGTTTCCTTTTCAATAATCATCATTTTTCAATAATCATCACTAAGTCGACCAGTGGTTCCAGGAGGAACCTCCAGTGGGCGGCCTATAGAAGAACAATAAAGTTCAAATAATTAATACACAGGATGAGGAACTGTATTTGCAGTACTGTCTAATTTATGTCTTTTCAGGTTGTTTTTTTAATGTTGCAGTGCTCTTGTCATACCATTTTGAGCGTATTGAAAGATGAAACCACAGTCATTCTCCTTCTTCAGCCATTATAGTCTTACTTAAAAACTTAAAAAAAAAACAACTTATCTTTATTATACCATTTTGAGCGTATTGAAAGATGAAACCACAGTCATTCTCCTTCTTCAGCCATTATAGTCTTACTTAAAAACTTAAAAAAAAAAAACTTATCTTTATTTGTCATTGTGACACAGCACAGCACAGCACACCATGCACAACGAAATTTAACCTCTGCATTTAACCCATCACCAAAGTGAACAGTAGTCTTACGTATTTACAAAGAGAGCACTCATGGACCTCTGACATCAGACCTTAATTTAGAAACTGCAACTTCTTTAAATGGTTATAATTAAAATTGCACAATACACTGTTAGTACAACAAATAACTTTAAAAATCACTTAGGGTTGAGCCCTTCCTCAGGGGCTGCCACTGCAAATAATCCACATCTGTAATTTGGAGACCTTTTTACGTAAGACGCCACCCTGGAGGCAAAAACCTCCCTCCATCTTTATAAGTTTGGGACAGACATTTAGTGACTGTGGTGTTATGACCAACTTGGGGATTGTGTGTTTTGCTCAGGGAGACATCAGCGCGCAGCTGGATTCAAACATAATTTTGCAGATTTGACAGGAGCACAATGGTCTTGTGCAAAACCCTTGGCATCACACAAAAACAAAGCAATTTAATTAGCAAACCCATTTAACTGTGGTGCAGCAGAGATGATCTGCACATAGTCATCTTTCCAAAATATGCTCAGTAAACATTTTCAAAGCTACTTCATCCTTCATCACCTGCTGTCAGGCCTTACCTTCAATCTGCCAATATCCGCAAATCTCTCTTCAACATTTCACACACATTAACATTGGCAAAACTAAAAAGGTTATAGTGAAGAGAGTTAGCAGCCTTTTAGCACATAGCTAATGGAGCCATGCATTTAAAATGCTTCCCACTCTCAATCTGGAGAATGACCCCCCCCCCACTGTACCACTGGCACACGTCCGATCCTTGAGCTCAAGTGAGGGCCTCCAGCTCTTTGTGGCTGGAGGTGTGTTATGCAAGCCTAATGGATGAAAAGATCATTGTTTTCTAGACGCCCACAGCATGGTCCATGTAACAGAACCACTTGTGAAATCACAGCTTTTTAACATTTAGGATTTGGCTTCACAGATGGTGATTAGTGCTGCAGACTTGAGGGCAAGATCCCTCAAATGTGTTGAGGATAAAAATGATCTGCTGATAACTGATGACAACCTGGCTCACTACCTTTCAAAATAATATTTAAAAAAATATAATGGATGAGTTCTACCACAACATGAGTGTGCGTTCAGACATCGTTAACAGTGTAGTAAAATTATAAATACATAATAACATATTAGAAGCAACCATTTTAAATAAATTATGTTTCAATCATGTTTTATGAGGGAAGAGAGGATTTAATTTGTGAATACTCAAACAGAAAATGTTTTAGAAAATATTAGGTTGCTAAAATAGCTGAAAAGAAACAATAAATCAGCCTCACCAACAATAAAAGCAATGTTGCATTAAGTGGATAAAAATGAAAAATAATATTTTAAAACAGCAAATCATTCAAAAATCATCATGGTTCTATTGGTGGCAACAGTATTAGACTTTAGATAGTCTCTATTATCGATGTGTTCAGACTGAATATGCAGCAATAACCTTTGATATTCTCACTATTAAAAATACAGTAACGTGAATAACCCTACGAAAGGACAGATTTTTTTTTTTGTCCTTTGGATAAAAAGAAACTAGATCAGACCAAATTAGGGCCGACTCTCTCTCTACTTTTAGAGGTCCAGAGTTGTGGATTAGCTTTTTACCTCTGTGACCAGGCTAAGGCTTTGAAAATGGAAGGCTGGTTTTATGTGAGCGCCAAGGATAGGCCATGCCTCAAAAAGCACCCAGACTTCAGAATGGTCTGTTGGTAATCCTACCTGCTTCTGGGCAGAAACATGGATTCCTTAATGAAGACAGAGCCGGACAACAGGATGTACCAGCAGCTGCCAATGTCGTCAGGGCTGAAAGACACAACATCAATAATGTTAGCAACCATATTAAAAATCTACATTTTCTAGGTTTAAAATAAATGCTATTATCACATTTATAATTATTAAAATGCATCAAGTTATTATAATTTTAACATCCAGACAATTCCCATTTCTCTTATTCTCAAAGTTGTGAATGACAGGCTTCCATAAGCCGACATCAAGATGTACAGTAACGACTAAATGACTATGTAATGATGTTATGATTAAAAACTCCCGGAATGTCAAAGTGGAATGTAGTTTGCGGTGCCAAACACAACTTCAGAAATAAGAAAGTACAGTAGAGAGATCAGAAAAACAGAGCAAGTTTTAAAGGCGATTAAACTGTGAATGAACTAAGGAATAAACTCGCATCAACCTACAGCCATGGCCTGTTAGAGACACACAGACAAAGACAATGTGCATCACAGACCAAGTAAACTCAGACTGAACCCTACACTGTGCAGACTGAAGCACTGGGACTACAGAGTACAGTCAAAGTACAGTAATTTGGATTACACTTTGCCTTTAGAGTAGGCATCATATATATATATATANNNTCAGGGTATTCTTTAATGTGAATATAATATAGAGATAGATGTTTTCTTTCCACCGCTCATCTAGCTCATCTTTAGGTCCTAATGGATGATCCAGGGATCACAAAGTGATTATCTGACGAGGCTGAGTCTGTGTAAAACTCTCAGTACACGGATTACCAGAAATGATGTGGATGTTGGGATCTACTGCAAAAGAACCATAAACAAATAAAGTAGGGCCAGATTAAACGGTAAAAGTTGATCTGCTTTATTTATATCCGGCCTTTTCCCAAAGGCTGCAAAGGGCCACTGGGCCATGTGCATACTCTGTGGTGCTTGCAAAAAATATTTCTTTAAGAGGATGGCAGAAAAAGGTCTAGTATACTGTATACTAAAGACTTCATGACTGTTCCTATAAAAACTGATCATTCAAAGGCCTCTGCCTGTAAAAAGGAAGTAGGAATTGAAAGAAGGAAGAACTGCATCCTAATAAGTTTTTTCCATTGTGGTGGAAAAAAACTGATGAGTTTAGCTAAAGCTGGACAAAAATAAACATGCTTTCATTTTCATTAGCAGTAAAGTTTACAGATGTAAAATAAATATTTGACTAAACAAACAAAGATTTAGCCAACAGTCATTTAGGTCCCTTAAATATGATGAAAAAAATACTTTCAACACTTGATTTGTTTTGATAAAACTGAATGTCCTATTGATGTGTTATATGACTGGTTAGCTCATCTTCACAGTTTCAACAAACATGTTCATTTAAAGTGTTCTCCATACCTTCACAACTGAACTGTATTTTTTTGTTTATTGTTACTTCTGAAAAAAACATTTCAGAGTTAATATTTCAAATTCTGGCTCAAATAAAGCCATGATAATTATAAAAACTGTTATTACCCAAATTCCCAAAATTGGCTGAAACTCCTTGACTGTTACAGAGATCAGCTGTGTGTACAGAGCAGACAGTATGAATCTACAAACCCCTAATTCGGAAATTTCCTATTTTCCTAATAAGGGAGCACTGACGCTTTGAAAGTGAGTTCCTCAGTTTATCACTTTAAACCACTTCACTGCTTGCCACAATATATTTATAAATATATGTTCTCTATAAGAAAGCAGTGTGAGAGTGAGGCTGTTAGAAGCAGCTTACAGTATATGATGCCTTTTAAAACTTCCTTTAAATTTAATGGTTTGCTGCAGCCAATACACTGGGCTTTATCACCATGAAATACTATTGGTAAGACACCAACGTGCATGCAATATTTAAAAAAAAATAATTCAACAAACACAATTCTGAAAAATTCAAATCTGGTTCAATGAAGCATAACAGCTGCCTTGCCTCCTATACAGCATCAATAGTAACGAGATAAAAGAAACACTCAGCTTTAACAGTTTACGTCAAAACCCCAGTGAAACAGATTTCTCCACACTCCTTACCAGAATAGCTTACACACACTTTCATGGTGTTGCAAAAACTGAAACTTTAATTTTCTAATACACCACAGGGGCAAACAAATGACGTTTTATGTACTTGGTCTTCTCTAGTTCTCCAGTTCTCTACCGTGACTGGTAGCCCAGATGGATGCAATACCACAGACTATTTACAATTCAGCGTTTCACTACCTCATCTCAGCTTGTAAGATGAGGAGCCCCTCTTCACCGCTGACTTCACTTGTTAAACCTGAATGTGCTAATAGAGCAGCCATGTGTGTGTGTGTGTGTCCCACAACATGTCTGTCTGGTCTGAGAGATATTTCTTAATAGAAACCAGAGGGAGAGAGAAAATCAATCAGCAGCCAAACATCAGTAGGAAGGGTTATTTTTTGTTTGTTTTTGGCTTACAGAGAGGTAAAGGATGGATGCACCTAATATAAACCAGTCCCACATAAACACACACACGCCCTCATCCAGAAACACTCTAGATGTTTTTTAACCATTGAAAACAAAGCCTGTATTCCTTCCCTCCTCTGCATGCAGAATAATGAGGCTGCGTACAGCACGTCCTACAAACACACTGCAAAATCTCTCATGTACCCTCCAACAGGATTCTTTTCCCATTTCCCCTCTGCCGGTCTCCATCCTCCCCCTCCCATAAGACTTTGCTCCATCCTTGATGGCTCTTTTTGGCATTCCGAGACCTCACAAATGAAACGATGAATTATTAAGCAGATACACGGAGCCAGAAGAGAAACTTCAATGACTGTGAAGCAGGAGTGAGGAGAAGAGAAGACACGGGGAGACGACTCTCACACACCGCGACAGCTTGACTGAATCAGGTCACATGTACAAGTAGAGATTATCAAACGCTAAACAGCATACACAAAAAGCCCCCGTCGGAGAGAGCATGAGAGTAGGCCATGAGGTTATATACTGTAGGAGCCACGAAATGTGAATATCACACTGTAAGACTGTGAGTCAACAGAGGGGTTTCACTGGAAATATGAAA